GCCAGTCAGCTCCTCCCCAGCCGGGCACCCCGCCAGTGGCAGAGCTTAGCACAACTCCAGTGGGGCTCTGGGGGTGGGCACTAGCTGGCACCACTGGGGGCTTGATCTGCAGAGCTGCCCCTAAGGGCCGATGCTAGAAACCAGGCGCGTCTGCCGGCGCGTGCAAAGGAGGGAGGCGTGCGGGCCGGGCGGAGCTGCTGCTAGTGACGCGCTTGCCTTGCTGCGTCCTGCTGGGCATGAAACGCCCTTGACTTGATTGTTCTACTTGCCGGGGCTGATTTTAGTGCTGGACCCACAGACTATGAGACTGCCCCCTCCCCGCCCCCCCAGCTATAGCTCAGTATCCCCCAGCCCTGTCACAGCCTCCCAGCCCCGGTTCGGTTTGCCCCCCAGCCAAGCAGGCCTGGGCCGCTCATCGGCCAGTCAGCAAGGGGGCTGAGTTTGCTGGTACAGGCCCCCCCCAGGACAAACTCCCCAGCGCTGCCAGTCAAGACCTGGTGGCTGGGATCTGCTGCCTTGTGGGGCTGGATCCAAAGAGCTGAACTAGGGGTCAAAGGCTCCATCTCCCAGCCAGCCAGACCCTCTCTTGCCCTGCGTCCGCCCGTCTGGGATTAGCCGTTTGAACCGCTGAGGGGTTGCTTGGGGTAAGTGCCCACCAGTAGCCAGAACAGCTGAGCCATTAGCAGAAACCCTCTGTGGCCCTCCCTTGAAGCAGCACCTCACTCCCCGCCCCCCTCACAGACTGTGTGTAGGACACCCACAGCAGAGCTGCAGTGACCTTGTGGGCCCCACATTCCTGAGGGGGGCAGAGCCTGTGCCATTTCCCTGCTTCCCGGAGTCCTGTGAACCCCCCTGCCCCCCTTTGGGGTGTCCAGAAACCCAAAGGACCTTTGATTCCCTGTAGTCACCGTTCTCCTGGCCGGACTTGGTGCTCAGGGTGAGAAGCTGCCCTGAGCCAGGCAGGGCCGTGCCCCACAGCCAGGGCCTCCCCTGAGCCAGGCAGGGGGGTTCTGTTTTCCTCCTCCGGCGCTTATGGCATGCCTCCCCTTTCTTCCTGCTTCTAAGTCCCGAAGCGCTGGACTATCCCCTGGATCACAGGTGAGTCTCTGCCAGGCTTCTGCTCTTGTGTCTCGTGCCCTCTGGTGTTGCTGCTTTGTTGGCCTCTCTGGCGCGCGGGTCTGAACGTTTGGCTTTTTATTGATGAGGGACGATGGTTCGCAGCCTGCGAGATCCTAAAACAAAAGGAGGCTGGGCGAGGTGGGGGAGCTCCTACCACACAGTGCCAGGACTCCGGGGAGGGGGTACAGCTCTGGGGCCCAGAGCAAGTGGCTTACCCTCTCTGGATCCGCCTTTCAGCAGTAGCCCGCCCACTGAGCTGGTGCTCGACAGCAAATCCCACAGCTTAGGGGGGAGGCTAGTTCCCCGGCTGGGGATTCCAGCTTCGCCCCGAGCTGCCGGATGGCTCTTTGGCTGCAGTGTCCCTTGGGAATAAAACGCTCTCCCTGCGGCTCTGTTCTGTGTGCACCCGCGGCAGTGGCGGCCTCCGGCGAATCCCAGCATTGAGCGACTCCGGAGTGGCCGCGTGGCTAGTCGCTCGGTGCTGTAGAGCGTGGCGGGGGAAGGGACCGCGTGGAGATGTAGATTCAGGTGGGGGATAGCCTGGCTCCAGTAATGCACCTGTTTTGGAGGAGGATACCTCTCTGACCCCTCCCCCTCGGCTCCCATCATGCCTCTTTTCCCTGGAGACACAGGTGGGAGGAGGGCACAGGGGCGGGGGTGAGTCCAAGTCGCACTGGGGGCTACGGAGGAGCTGGATCCTATTGTGGCTGCTCGAGAAAGCTCCGTGACAGCAGAGCTAATGGCCACTCCATCATGCCTTGCAGGGCCGGCCGGGGGCTGCTCCCTGCTGGCGTCCTGGGAGTCAGGCGGGCTGGACCGAGGATGAGCCTGGGGCCTTTGAGGCGGGGGGGACAGAGGTGTGCGGGGCCCCAGCAGGCTGCACAGTGACGCTTCCCTGGCCCCGCTGCACAGTCCCAGGGCACTTGGTGGAAAGCAAAAGGGCATCAGCCCAGCGGGCTCCTCACGGCGCTGGTATCCAGCTGATCCCACTGGACGTGTTCCAGAGCAGAATCAGGGCCTGCCCAGCCCCCTTCCCGCCCCCCTCCCATGCACACACACGCTCCCCAGGCCCTGTTCCAGGGACTATCCCGGGGTTCACTGCCTGGACAATGACCTGCCGGGATGCAGAGGAGCAGGCTGCTCCGGGTGGGCTGGCCACCTGTCTCTCTGCCCGAGGCGGGTGGCCTGCCCCTTGCTTCCATAGCCCCCTTCCTGACTCTGCCCTGTGTTCCCTCCCCCACCCGGCCCCACGGTGCAGTGAGAAGGCCTTGCAGGAGAACCACTTTGAACTGAGCCTCAAGACGGAAGCCACCCAGGGGCTGGTCCTGTGGAGCGGGAAGGGGCTGGAGCGGTCGGATTACATCGCCCTGGCCATCGTGGACGGTCACATGCAGATGTCCTACGACCTTGGCTCCAAGCCAGTGGTCCTGCGATCCACGGTGCCCGTCAACACGAACCAGTGGATCCAAATCAAAGCGTACAGGTGAGGAGGTCGGCGGGGAGGGGGGCAGCGAAGGGGCATGAGGGCTAGCGGGGTTGCAGACAGTGCAAGCAGCTGGGCTTGAGTGGGCCTGGGTCACATCTAGGGCACTTGAGTCATGGCCCTGGAGCTGGGCTCCGTGGTCTCCCGGGGTCACTGAGCCCGACAGATAAGAATAGAGGAGCAGTATGCGGCCAATGCAGCGTTGGAGGGAGGCGTGCCTTGACTTGCCTGCCCTAGATTCTAGGAAATGTCAAAGGGGCAGGCAGGAGGAAGTGCTCCCGCGCTGGGCCTTTTATTTTAGCCAGCTGGGGGCTTGGAATTCAGTCCGTGTTGGGCCTCCTGGGGTTTTTATTTATATTGGTGGGGAGCTGCTTGCATGGCTGGAATGCCAGTGGTTTGTGCTGATGAGTCTGGAGGGAGCATTGGCAGGCAGGAATAGCTTTGCGTGGGACAGAGCTTGCAGCAGGACTCCCCCTCCCCTCCCCAAAAGGCAGGTTGGAGGGGAGCAGCGTCCCCCGTGAGCTGAGCACTTGGGTAGCCACCCAGGAGAGATTCAAATGTCCCCCAGCTGATTAGCAGAGCGCCCCCCGCTGGCAGCCTGTGTGTCTGCTGGTGGTGCACGTCCGCACGTGCCTTGGTGCATGTTAACAACATGTATTCCACACACGGATGAAAAGCGAGGAAATGCTGGTGGAGAGCTCGCCTTACGTGTCGTACCGACCTCTCCCAGGGGATAGTGCAGGAGTGCTGGTGCAGATTGTGCCGCCAGTCCTGGCAGAAGCACTCCAGGCATGCAGTGGTGCGGAGAGCGCAGAGAGAGAGGGGCTGAGGCATGGCAGTAGAGCCAGTTGCAGCTGAGGGTAAGGTGGAGCACTGGTCCTGGCCCCTTTACTGAGTGTTCCTCTCTTTCCTGGGCGTAGAGTACACAGAGAAGGCTCCTTGCAGGTTGGCAACGAAGCTCCCATAACTGGTTCTTCCCCTCTTGGAGCAACCCAGCTAGACACCGATGGAGCCCTTTGGCTGGGTAAGTTGAACAGGAGAAGGGAGAACACGATTCCCTTCTGTACCCCAGAGCAGAAAGTTTCAAGCCCCAAGGAGGCTCAGATACACTGTTCCCATGAATCCCAATTAGAACGGAGTCCTAAGTCCCCTCGTTGGCTTTGAAAAGATCAGCCCAGGTGGAAATGCAGGGGATGGGCCACAGCGCTGGAGCAGGTGGCACTTTGTGCCTCCGGCATGGCTGCAAATCTCAAAGAACTGGACACAAATGGGTCAGCATTAGCCTCCTTTGGCAGCTGGTCTGAACGGGCCCAGAAATTGTCCAGGTGGCACTGGGGGTTAGCCGAGAGCAGCGGTGGTCAGTACCCGACCCGCAGGCTGGATCCGGTTGGCCAGTGTTAGCCCCTGCTGAGCTGCCCCCATTGTATTTCCCTGCAGGGACAAGGGCATGCAATTCCCATTGGCCGTGGATCCCAATGGGAGCTGCGGGAAGCAGTGTTCTTTCACCCTTCCATCTCAGTTCTCTGTCTGTAAAATGGGAATTGTGCCTGGTCGCCTACCTCCGGCCCTGTCACAAGGATTCCTTCACCGCGGTCCATACAGCACTGTGAACATAGCGGCTGTCTACACTGGAGCGATCTTGTGCCAGAAGTATGCAAATGAGGCTGTGTGGAATATCGCCGAGCCTCATTTGCATATCTGAGCTGCCATTTTTGCGGAAGAGGCTCTTGTGCCAGAAGGAGCTGTCTACACGGCCCCTTCTTGAGCAAGAAAATCCCTCTTGCGCAATGCCGTTCTTCCTGAAAATAATCAGCGTAGCGGCATTGCGCTAGAGGGTTTTTCCTTGCGCAAGAAGGGGCAGTGTAGCCAGCTCCTTCTGGCGCAAGAGCCTCTTCCGCAAAAATGGCAGCTCATTAGATATGCAAATGAGGCTCGGCGATATTCCTCGCTTAGCCTCATTTGCATGCTTCTGGCGCAAGATCGCAACAGTGTAGACATAGCCAGAGTGTGGTATAAAAATAGTGATGATCTGGGTAGGGATGGAAGAGTTTAATCGGTTAACCAATAAGCTGATGTGTCCCTGTTCCTGTTAATGGTTAAACTCTGCCAGGGGCCAACAGCAGCTCCCTTTTGGGTCAGGACCTCTGATTTGAGAAACACTGGAATCTGCATGGCCGTGCTTCTCAGAGTGGGCTGCAAAACCACTTTGAGAAACCTATTAACTGGCTGAACTGGTTTATTTACCAGCGCTGTGTCCACCGAGCCTCATGGCTCCGATTGGCTCTGTTTCGCAGTTCACAGCCAAGGGGAGCCGTGGGAAGTGGCAGCCTGGCCTACATGGCTTCCCGTGGCTCGCCTTGGCTGAAAATGGCTAAATGGAGCAAATAGAGGCCACCAGGCTCTGTGGCCGCAGCACCGGTAAATAAACAAACCGGCATGGCCAGTTAATAGAATCCTAGAACACTAGAACAGGAAGGGACCTCGAGAGGTCATCAAGTCCAGTCCCCTGCCCAGGGGTGGCCCATGATTGTAGGCCGACTCGGCCGTCGCCTAGGGCGCCGCCTTCAACGGAGCCCGATGATGATGTCACGAGGCACCCGATGATGACGTCACTCCATTGATGGCCATACAGGCGGGGGCGCCGATCGTGCATTCCGCTTGGGGCGCCAGCTGCCACAGCCCGCCTTGGGCAATTCCTGCCCCTGCCCTCTCCGCAGGACCCAGCACTGTCTCTAGGCAATCCCTGACAGATGTCTATCCAACCTGCTCTTAAATATCTCCAGTGATGGAAATTCCACAACTTCCCTAGGCAATTTATTCCAGTGTTTAACCACCCTGACACAGTTAGGAAGTTTTTTCTAATGTCCAACCTTAAACCTCCCTTGCTGCAGTTTAAGCCCATTGCTTCTCGTTCTATCCTCAGAGGCCAAGAACAGTTTTTCTCCCTCCTCCTTGTGACACCCTTTTAGACACTTGAAAACCACTTTGATGTCCCCTCTCAGTCTTCTCCTTTCCAAACTAAACAAGCCCAGTTCTTTCAGTCTTCCCTCATAGCGCATTTTCTCTAGGTTTCTCAAAGTGGTTTCCACTTTGGGAAATACTGCTGTGTAGTACAAGGTAAAAGCCCACAAAAGGCCAGATTTCACGGGAGGACACCACATTTCATGATCCGTGACACATTTTGCCTGGCTGTGAATTTGGGAGGGCCCTACTTAGTCAGCACAAGGGCTCTCAAGAGGCAGCAGTGAGCTGTTTTGCAGTGCAAACGAACACATGAAGGATGTTAACGTGCTAGCATCAGACTGGGGAGACCTGTATGCAGTTTTCTACCCCCCACCCCAAGTGTTTGGGCAAGTCACTTAGCCCCTCTGTGCCTGGGTTCCCCATCTGTCAAACGATAACAGCCCTGTCCTGGCCCACAGAGGTTGGGGATCAATACCTTAAGGGCCGTGAGATACTCAGCTACTGAGGGAGGTCTGCACATAGATCAGAATGGACAAGAAGTGTGTTTTGATGATCTGTAACGAAGAACCAGTGTGACACCGTCTCTCCGGCCTTGGCAGACATATCCGCTATTGGGGAGAAGTGGCTCGCTTTTTGGATCTAACCAGTTTCCCATGCCAAAGTTCTAGGCAAGTTTCCTAATGGACAGTGCAGCCTTTCATGATGCCATGGTTGTATTGCCTCTGTAGTCTGTCACCATGGCAGTTAAGAGAAGGATCATTAGCAGAGCTGGTTCAAAAAAATCAAAATCTTTTCCCTCGAGAAAATCTGGTTTAAAGGGGAAAAAACGTGTTTTCCCGCTGAATGTTTGAAAGGTTTTGGTTTGAGTCAGCAGTGCAACATGAAACACAAGATCAGTTTTGTTTCCACTAAAAGTAATTTCACTGCATTTTCACGTCAGTACAAAGAAACCAATAAAAGGTCTAAATGCTGATTTGAAATGTCAATTTCTGTTTAAAAAAATCCCCTCTGGGACATTTTTTTCACCAGGATTTGACGTTTACGTGCAAACAAATAGCCAGGAAAACTTTCAGGTGAAACATTTCACCCAGTTCGGGTAATTACCTTTTCCGTTTCACGGCTTCACTCTGAAGCTTCCTGGCACCGACTGCTCCTAGCTGAGGGGTCAGGAAGGAATCCTCGGCCATGGGGCACCACAGGCAGCACTACACAAGCGCCAGGGTGGGAAAAGTCGTTTTCCTCTGCAGCCAGTGCCCCCACCTGATCTTTCCGTGCCGTCTCTTGCAGGGGGAATAGAGAAGCTCAGCGTAGCTCACAAGCTGCCCAAGGCCTACAGCACCGGCTTCATTGGCTGCATAAGGGACGTGATAGTCGACCGCCAAGAACTGCATCTGGTGGAGGACGCTTTAAACAACCCGACGATATTACACTGCTCAGCCAAATAAACCCCTGGGGGAGCTTCCTTCCCCCTCCCCCTCCTGCCTATTGCTGTAATTATTTTCTATTTTTGTAAACTTATTGCTTTTTATATTTTGGGGGGGGGGATGAGGGAGAAAGGGGGAGGAGACACCTTTTTTTGTTGGTTTTTGGTTGGTTGGTTGGTTGCAGTGTCTCCACGTCAGTCGAACTCTGAGCTGCAGGAACACGGAACGCGCCCTGAACCACATCTCCAGGAAGTGACTGAGAAACAAACCCCGCCTAGCCTCCTTCATTGTAAATGTCATTCATACTTGAAGCCGCTCCCCCCTCTACCCCAGTTTTATTTTTAGTTTTTTGGTTGGGTCTTGTTCACACTCACGAGGGGGAGGAAAACACCAAGGATCATGGCACTGGCAAGATCTGTGGCCTGTGGGGAATTGGCGTTTGGCAATCTCAGGCCTTGTCCACCCGCCACTTCCTTCAGTCCCGGCTGAGCAGAGGAGCCGCCATTCAGGGGAGGGGGACATCCCGCTGTGTTTGGGCCAAGATCTACCAAGTCTTGTCCAGACTTCGTATCCGCCCCGTTCTTCCCTCTCTGCGAGTGACATCAGCGTGCGAGGATCTCCAGTGTTTTCTTTGTGAACGCCACTTGCTGGAAGATAAGACCAAGGTTGGCTCGTAGCAGGTTGGGAGGCATCGCTCTGGGCCTCCTTGACTCCTCACTGGACTGAAGTTGGTTTTTTGTTTTTTTTTTTAAATCAATTTGGCTGCAGAGGGGTGGCAGCGTCTTTGTGCGTTAATCACACGCCCGCCTGGATGCGCGCAGAAGCAGCTGGGAAACGTATTTCCAGGCTTTATTTTTATCCAGACATGTCCCAACCGCCCCCTTGGCCTTGCTGTGCTTTCCAAGAGTCTTTGCTGTTTACCAAAACCTGCCCTTTCTTGTGCCAGTGGGAACGTTGCAAAGTATGCTGGATGCCGGGCGCTCAAGCCCACGAAGCTCGCCCGCTCCCAGTCAGTTGACAAGATTTAAAGGCACAGTAGGAGGCCCTTTTCCTCTGTCATCCATTTGAAGCATCCATGTCCTCTATTTACAGGCATGATGCTTTCGGACCAGCTGTCCTAAGGATTTCTGCTTACACGCCTTGAAAGCTAATGGGTGTTTGGCCACTGACTTCATATTTGTACAACAGCCAGCATAACCGGGGAACCTGGCCAATGCCCCTAGACACAACCATGACACAAACCGTAACTTCAGTGGGGAACAAGATAAGGCCCAGACTATATCGGCCACAGACGGTGCAGCAGGTTTTTTCTTTTAAAGTTATTTTTGTTTTCCACAATGCAAATCATTCCTTGTAAAAATTTGTCCGATGCAAATACTGTAATGCCAGCTCCAAACCCAGTGTGCGTATGTGTGTCTACTTACATGTATACGTTTGTATGCAAATGCCGATTCTGTCGTAAGGGAAAAAAGCCCCCGGGCTTAAGAAAAAAGGACCAAGATGCTGAAGAGGACTGACCTGCTTAGGGTGACCGGCTGTCCTGATATTATCTGGGCCATCCAGATAGCAGGGGCTTTGTCTTATATACACAACTATCCCCCACCCCAACCTCCTCCAAAAGCGTCCCTATTATTCACACTTGCTTTCTGATTACCTTAGACTTGCTATGTTCAGTTTCATTGTGGGAAGGACTCACTGGTGGGAACTAGGGCAACACATCTTCCCCTCCCCCCCCCCCCCCCCCCCCCGCGGGATAAGCCCACTTTAGGGAGTAGGGGGCATTAATTTGCATGATCCTGCCTCTTATAAAGTGAGATGAGGTGCCACCATTTGGCAGTTTTCTGGCCTACCTGCTGGTTCTCCCTCCCCGCAGAAAATAACATTTCTCTGGGCTGAAGTCTGAGCCAGGAAAACCAGCTGTTTTTCTTGGAGTGAGATCTGAAGACGGGAGGTATAAGCCCACTTTAGGGAGTAGGGGGCATTAATTTGCATGATCCTGCCTCTTATAAAGTGAGATGAGGTGCCACCATTTGGCAGTTTTCTGGCCTACCTGCTGGTTCTCCCTCCCCGCAGAAAATAACATTTCTCTGGGCTGAAGTCTGAGCCAGGAAAACCAGCTGTTTTTCTTGGAGTGAGATCTGAAGACGGGAGGTGAAGGAGACGGACATACCTTTTAACCCCTCCCTCCTTTCACAGCAAGGATGGGTGCAGTTTCTTTCTAAAGTCAGACCTCAGCACACCATGTACACCTGGACTAGAAAATGTCCCATGTCATAAAAGATGCCCAGACTTGGATTTGGGATTCTCTTCCTTTTGGAGCAGGAAACAATTGAGGGCTGGTTTGATTTTCCTTGCCTGATGTTCCTTCTTTTCCCTGCCTAGCTTTATTGACCTGATCCCACTTAAACAAAAAACCGCATCCCACCTGATCAGCCATGGTTTCATGTGCCAGCAGGCAAGACACGGATGTATTTTTCCTGGTGGAAATCTACGCCTACGTTGCTGCTTTCCCTATAAAAACCCATAGTGGTTAATGACTCAGTGGAGATCATGACCTTCTGTGAGCTACAATGGAGATTCCAGTATTTTCTTGTGTGTGGCAATACCACATTTTAAGTGGCGACTGTAAATCTATCGTGGTTTCTGTCAGAGAGTAATGTGATTGTGTTGTAAAGCAAACTGACTACTGGACTTCAACCACATTGTGTCGGTTGCTAGAGGCTAACGAGGGCGGGGGAGGGGAGGTAAGGCGGAAATGCAAAACTCTCCTGTATTTTGAACACCTAGCTTCTAGCTGGACTGTGCAGGCGCCTGAGTTACAGTTAAGGGCTGAAGATTCCAACCCGAGGGAGAGGGATGTGCACAGGGTTAGCTGCTAACTTCCCGGAATGCCACTAAAACAAAGCCAAGGTCACTGCAAAACCAAATGCTGTCTGCTTTTGCTGGGGCTTGGAAATGCCTTAAAACAAAACATTGTGTCCTTGTTGTCAAGCCTCTTGACTCGCCATCTGATTCAGCAGTGCTCCCTAGGGGCCATGCACTTAACTTCGGCTTTATTTTGAATAGCATTTATAATGCCGATGTACAAAACGACATTCGGTTTTGATTTTTTTTTGATTGGCTATTTTTTACAATGTGTCTGTCCATGTGGCTTCATTTTTAGGATAAATTAATGACCATTGTGAACTGCTGTATGAATTCTGAAGGGCAATGCACAGTAGAGGAGCAGCATGATATAACCATTACTAACTTGTGTCTTTTGTCAATCACCATGAAATAAAGTTTGAAAACTATTAAATATGTTTACAAGGGGCTCTGGCTTTGTCTCTTTGTGGCACGTGCGTTTGCCTTCCATCTACATTGACTTCACCACCTGAGGATCTTCACCACCTGAGGATCTAACGAGTATAAATCTCAAGTCATTGTCTGGGACAATGTCTGGGACAGTCATTTTGCAAGCTGTTGAGCTATGTTTTATGTACCATTCACAACACACAGCAGAGCAGCATCTCCAGTTAATTTTGCCCACCATTCCCAAAAAGCATCATTCTCAAAAAGCATGCTGTCTCTGGTGCCTCTTCTCTAGCCCAAAACTATGAGCTGTTTGACACTGAGAACATACACTGGCATAGCTATGTCTCAGCAGTGAAAACCCACACCTCGAGAGAAGTAGGTCCGGTTGATGAAGAATTCTTTTGTGGGCCATGCTGCCACCTCTCCAGGAGATGGATTAACTACAACAACGGGAAACCCCTGTTGTGTCTACACTGAAGCACTACCACTGTGGCATAGACATACCCAGTGTTTACCTATTCAGTAGACTTTGTTAGCCATTGGAGCAGTGAGGGGTAACCTAGGCCAGTGAGTGGACCATGTGAGTGGCCCTCCATCTCAGTGGGCTGCAAGATTGTCGTAACCAAGACAGTCTCCTGGGACAGGGTAGTTTTGCTCACTGTGCTTGCGTACCTAGAATTTGCCGGGCGTGCCGACTGAAATTTAGCAACGCTTTCACTGGATACAGAGGGAGCACATGGCTCTCCCAATCAATGTTGTGGGCAATAAACACACGTGCCTCACTTCACATGTTTTTCGTTGTGTGTCACTTCAGTAAACCAGTAGGCTACGTCTAGACTGGCATGATTTTCCGGAAATTCTTTTAACGGAAAAGTTTTCTGTTAAAAGCATTTTTGGAAAAGAGCGTCTAGATTGGCACGGACGCTTTTCTGCAAAAGCACTTTTTGCGTAAAAGCGTCCATGGCCAGTCTAGACGCGCTTTTGCGCAAAAAAGCCCCGATCGCCATTTTCGCGATTGGGGCTTTTTTGCGGAAAAGAAATCTCTGCTGTCTACACTGGCCCTTTTGTGCAAAAGTCTTTTGGAAAAAGACTTTTGCCCGAATGGGAGCAGCATAGTATTTTCGCAAAAAGCCCTGATTTATTACAGGAGGAAGTCAGTGCTTTTGTGGAAAGTCAAGCGGCCAGTGTAGAAGCTGGCAAGTTTTTCCGGAAAAGCTGCTGGTCAGTCTAGACACAGCCGTAGGGAAAAACAAGTATAGGAACAAAAACCAGCAAAATCTTGCATGTGGCCAACAGTGCACAAAATGTCTTGTGTTCTACACACAGAGTCCCGGTGGGCTGCATGCAGCCTTCAGGCACAGCTTGCCAATCTTTGCATTAGAGTCTACTGAACAGGTGAGTGCTCAGTGAAATGCACAGTTTAGAGACCTGTAACTATCAAGCGGGATTAGCATGAGCTGTACGGAGGCCATGGGCAGTGTTCTCTTGCAAGCTTTCTGAGGCAGGGGCTCCCTGTTCTATGTTTGTACAGCCCCTGGCATAATGGAGCCCTGGTCTAGGACGGACTGTATGTGCTACTGCACTTACAGTCAGACTTTGCTGGGTCATGGGAGGAGCTGGCTTCCTGCCCCCTAGAAGGGGCAGAGTCTTGAGCAGAAGGAGGCAGGGCTGGGGCTAGTGCCCTCCCCCCCAGCTCTTCAGCACCACTGCTGTGGGGTCTGGCAGCCCAAGGGCCCAGGGCTCCAACTTAGGGGCAGCTGCCTCTTCCCACCCTCCGCCCCCATCAGCGGCCCTGCTTACAAGTACTAATGAGAGTCACTTCTTTGACTTTCACAGGCTTTGCATCAGGCCCACCGCTTGCGTGTTAACAAAAAAACATCTGCTGAAGTGGGCTCCCCCCCTCGAAAGCTGATGTAGTCTTTATGGTGCCACAGGCCTCCTCGTTTTGTCTGAAACTGGCTAACACGTCCACCCCCAGAAACCTGTGTTGTAATAGTTAACATTGCGGTAGCCCCTGGAAGGCTCAGCCCAGTCTCAGCTCTGCTGGGCAGATGCATTTTATGACTGGTGAGTTTTAATCTCGGTGTGTTTCTTTAAAAAAAAAATGGAGAGAAATTAATTAAAACCATAAGGTTGTGGTGCAAACGGATTACAAACCCGGGAATTTTAACAACTAAAATTTCTGCCTTTACCCCTTCATTATCCTGTTAGTTTGCTTTTTATATCTGTCTATCCTCCCGTGTGATGGGTATGTATTCACTTGACATGGCCCCATGGTTACGAGCATCCTCGCGATCATCTTTCTACCCAAAGGCAAAGCCTTGGAACAGTAAATCTGGCAATTTAAAAAGTGCAAGCTGGGGCTGGATTCCGAGGCTGGATTGTGGAGGATAGAAAAAGCCTTTTAAGAAAAAATGTACAGACACTTTTAGAATTCAGTATTAAATTCCAATCTTCTCAGCACCTCTGCCTAGAACCAGACCTGCCTGCTAATCAAGGCAATGCATGGAATAGAGAATTTTCAAAGCAAGAAATTGTGTGTCTTTAACTGCAAGCGTGGGACTAAGCTTATCTTGGAGTCTGCAAACATAAGCTGAAACAACAGCTAGGAGAAGTGTGACGTGGCCCATTCATATCATGGCTGTGCTAACGCTGAGGTTGGATGGTACCCTTTCAATTAAATGCCAGCCTTGTTAACCTATTTCACTGCTGATCACATGAGTAGAAATGTCATGTTAGTTGAGGTTTGTGGGTGGTATTGAGCTAAAATACCACTCACCTGCCGGCTCCCTTTCTCTGCCTGTATCATATGTTTACATAACTACCAGTTAATTGATCACAGTGATTGAGGATGCAGCATTGCAGTGGAGGGCTGGAAGGCACCTCAAGAGATCACATGCATTAGCCCCCCTCGCCCCGAAGCAGGAAACTGTTTGTCCAACATGTTGTTAAAAGCTTCCAACAATGGGGCTACAGTAATACAGTAACAGCTCTGTTATCTGGCATGTTGAGAGTATGGGGGGTGCTGGTTAAATGAATGTTCTGGTTAACTGAGAGTTTCACTTTACCCATGGAATACCGGTTTTCAAAGAAGTAGAATCCAATACAAAGTATAAAACAGGACACATACACTCACTGATCCAGCAGTAGAACTGCACTACAGAGTGACTGGTTTCTTGAAACACTTAGGTACGCACAGTAAAGTTGTCATTACACTAAGTTATCTTAGGACGCTACATAACACTATGGGCAGTTCCCGGCCTACACCCAGATCACAAATACTATACTTAGTCCTAAAACTGTGCTGAACATGATTTAGTCTTTCTTTGATGATTCAGAAGGCACTTGGGGTCTCGGGATCATCATTATCAAGGATCATTGTAGAAGGGGTATGAGATTGGGCTGAATTTGTAAGAGTGGTAAGCAGGGGCAGATGATCATTTTGTGGGGCCCCCCTTTGCCATAGCGCATGCGCGGGGCTTCTTGAAGAACGGGGCCTGGGGTGGCCGCCCCGCTCGCCTTGCCCTATAGCCACCCCTGGTGATAAGGACCCCATGACACCCCCTGGAAGCTGCTTTTTTAAATAAATCCCTGGTTTCAGCTTCCCTGCTTGTTTTCTTTCTCTTTTGCATATGAGTAGGCTGTGTCTACACAGCATCCCTTTTCCGGAAAAGGGGTGCAGTGTAGACACAGCCGTAGGGTGCAGACTGTGCCACTGCATAACCTGCTGGACACAGGCATCTACTGGGGAGGGACACAAGGTGGGCATCAGCCACGTGACCAGCCCCTCACATGACTCCACCCCAGCTCACGGGAAAGACATTCTTAGGATGGTGCGGGGCCCGGGAACTGCCTCTTCCACCAGCGCTGCTCTACCCGCCCCCTCACCCCAGGCCCTGCCTCTTCCTGCCCCATCTTACCCCCCACTCCACCCTTTCCCCAAGCCCTCTCCCACCAGCAACATGGCCCCTGGGACTAGTAGGGAGCCTGGCACCTGCAGCAGGGGGCAGCAACCTTTCCCCAGCCCACTCTGCTCCACCGGCTTCCAGCCGCCTCACTCCACTCCCTGACTCTGGTGAGTGCGGGGGTGGTTCCACCCCTTCTCGCAAGCCCTCCCTGTCACAATTGGGAGCCACAAGCGGAGCAGGGTGTGGCCAGGTTGCTCCCTCCCTGCACTCTCTGCCCCCCACTCCACGCACCACCCCTGATGCTGGGTTGTATACTAGTCCCACTTACTAGACTGAAGGTTTGTATTGGAAAATACCAGAAATGCCAGTTCATTGAGCTTTCTGGTTAAGTGAGTGCCGGATAACAGAGCTTTTACTCTGTTATTTGCCTTGATCCTGCTCTGTCCTGCTAAGGATAGGAGACAACAGCAGACTGCAGCTTAAGCCATATACAGATAGGGTACGTCTACACAGCAACATTATTTTGACATAACCAGCATTATTTTGAAATAATTTAGTCTGTGTCTACACAGCAGGCAGTTATTTGTTAATAATGTTGAAATACTGTAAAGCTGGAGGACTTCTTACTCCGACTCCTGTAACCCTCATTGTATGAGGAGTATGGGAAGTCGGAGGAAGAGTGCACTATTTAGAAAAAAATGCTGCGTAGATGCTCCCAATTTCGAAATACACTACATAATTGACATAGCTCAATTTGAGTAGCTTATTTTGAGTTAAGCCCTGCTGTGTAGACGTACCGGCAAACCCCTCTCTTGGCCATCATTCCACTCTGAGCCAAAGCCTTCAGCCTGACTCATCCAAATTCCCTCCAGGAGTCCGGTTACATCTTCCAAATGCTCCTGTCCTCTGAGAATCACCTGCTATCTGACCCATTCTGCATGTAGAGGCCAAACACTTCAAAACCCCTTCACCTCCCTTAACCTGCAGCTCTGCCTCCGAATTTTTTTCTCTCATTTAGTGCCACCAATAACCTTTTCTCCCCTCGCCACAGCCCTTTACATTGGCTGTTCCCAGTCTCCTTGGTTTCTCTTCACTAATCCAGTCTTGGTC